GAACTAATTTGTTTTATTTTTTTAATGAAAAATAATCATTTTATATTTAATGAGTCGTTTTGCTTTTATTTGACGATCTTTTTTTGTTAGCATTATCAAACTTTGTTTATCCTAAAATTTTAATTAGATTTTATTCAATATATTTTAAGATCTTTCGTAGAATTTCAGTTCAATCTGATGGTTAGATTGAAAATTATACCCAATAATATAAAACTAGTTAAATTATAATTTTTTATTAAATTTCTAAATTTCTCCAAAAATTCTAAAATTTTAACCCAAGTTAAAACTAAAGAATCATATTAGAAGGTTTGGAGTTTTTTAATACCTTAATTGAGAATTACAAATTCTTTTATATAAAATTAGTTAAAAAATATTAATAAAATCTTTATATAAGTTAGAGCCTATCCAAGCATGTATATACATGTCTTCGAACGAAGCTAATCTTACTTTAAAAAAAAAATACACAGGTAAAAAAAAAAAAAGTTCACCATTTTAATAGCAAATGGCAGTTATAAATATTTATGTGGAAGAGAGGCCCACCAAGTAGCTCACCAATTTAGCACACAAATCACGGCACTCATCTACAATTTATTACACCACTAGAAACTCATTCTAATAAATACCTCGGAAGGAGTTCCAATGTAAGTTAAAAGTTTCTTTTGCTTCCATTCAACACGAAGCTATTCCAACATTTTTTTTTTAATTTTTTTTTCTACGTCTTCGCTATGCTCTTTTATCTCTCCCTCTGTAATATTATCCATCTACTCCGCCATCTATAATTTTTTTTTCAACGTTCTTAAAAAATCATTTTCTCATAGCCCCGTTTAGAAATCGAATTAGAATTAAGCTAAGCTTTTAGGGTTCTTGGTTTAATCTTCACCGCATACACGGCGAGGCGATCCTTCCTCTGCTTTCATGTTTGAAAATGTGAAAACATTAATTTAATTTAATTTAATTTTAAAAAAATTAAAAGAAGTGGTTTTTTTAAAATATATTTTTTAATATTTAATTTATTAAATATTACACTTCATGATTTATTATGATTTGATTCTATATAATTATTCTAGTTTTATGACTCATGTTACTAATATGATAAATTAATTTAGTTAACTTGATTTTTTTAATTTCATCTATTAATATTGAGTTTATTAGAAATTAGGTTTCAAGAATTGTTTCAATTTAAAAAAAAAATACAAATTCTTCATGAATTATCTATTAATAAAATGATATCTGAAATTTGGAAATTTTTGGAAATCACACATGAAAGAATAAGATGTAATGTATAATAAGTTTATAACTTTTGTTAGTAAACTTGTTAACCATTACCGGAGAAGAAATAATTGGTAAAATTGACCATTTACATAACAATTTACTTTCATCTTCATTACAATTTTCTTTCCGCATCCAAAATACTTAAAACAAAAAAATTAATTATTTAATCATGATTAACTTGTCAAATTTCTCAAGTTTCTGTAAACTAATAATTTAGGAAATCATTATAAAAATCATAATCTTATTAGATTCATGTATATATATATACATTAAGGTTTTCAATTTATATACCTTCACCTGCCTATCTTATCCCAAACATTTAAAGTAACTTTAATTAACATGCCAAATGTTTGGTTAAGTATTTTCTAAGTTTTGTTTTGGTGGGACTCACCAAAAATTATGACTGGATCAAAGGTTCAACAAAAGCATAAAAATTATGCTTTGCACAAACAACAACTCTAAACTTAGTTTCTTCCACCACTAACCACAAATAGTTTTGTTTCACATCAAAATATATATAATAATTTTATAAAATAATTTCAACCACAACCATGCACATTAAACTATTTTTTGTTCAATCTCAATTTCAACTACAATTTTAATGAAACATATATTTTTTCAAACCAACCTCAACTAAAAGTACTTTTTATAAAATAATTTTTTTCAAACCACAACCACAACAACTACCATAATACCAAACACACTCTAAACACATACATGCCTAGCTTTCCCAAAACATATCAACTTAATTATAATTTACCTATTAAGGCCAATTTAAAACCATGATATTCACATTTAAACATCTTTACATCATTAAAAGATCAAGACTATAATCATTTTACCTAATTTAGCAAAAAATTTATAATTCCAACATTCTAATGTATCTAACACAAAACATTTAAACCCTTCGAAATCTATATTAAATGTTTAATATAAAACTCAAGATTTCTAAACATGCTTAGAACATCACAAGAAATTTCATTTAATTAAATTTCCAAATTATTCTAAAACTTTTGATAATTTCAAACGAACTCACAATTAGTTATAATTTCTATAATTTATTTTTTAAATATATTAATTCCTATACCAAACACACCAAAACACTATATACAATTCATCTCAATAATTTCCCATACAACTTGAATAAGTTTCTTAATTTCTATACATTTAATTCATACACTCCAAACAATCTCTACCCTAACAATAATATCTTAACCTTTCATATTAATTTATAAACATTCATTATCATAATTTAACAAGTTTCCATCTTTCTTTTCAATTTTTATACAATACAAAACCAACATAAAAAGATTATACATCCTACCAAAACACAACACACACCCCAGATCAAATCTTAACCATTATTTATACCCTTTAAACAACAACAAATCTTAACTTTCATATATGCCATTTATTTCTTTAACCAAAATTTCCCAAAACACATATGATATGAAATCCCCATATACAACTAGAAATATTTCACAAATATAGTTTATTATATCAATAAAATAAATATAAGTATCACTAAGTTAAAATCATTTTACTCCATTCTCCAAAATTACATAGATGGTTGGGTTTTATGTATTAGGTTCTCCTATAATTTTTCTTTTAATTCCTTCACAATTTCACTTTATCTTACATTAATTCCATATCAAGTTATAATAATTAATAATAATTATGCTTTTTTTAATTAGTTTTAAGAACCCTGAATTGAAAGAATTTGGACCTTTCTCATTCTTCCACCATTAAACAAGAAAATAAGTAGGTAAGAGCACCTTACCAATAAATTCCAGTCTCAATTTAATAAGCTCTTCATCATATCTCTAAGGATTTTGCTCATCCTCGTCCCAAAACCCAAACTTTTTCTATATTTTAAACACTTTTTCTCTCAAACTTCTCTCCTCATAACCCATTTTTCTTTGGTTTTTCTTACTTGGATGAGCCTCCCTAGTAAAAAATCATCCTTATATATTTTTTAATCTATGATTTAAAAGAATAAGCACCTATCTTTAAGATAAAATGAACAAAAATATCAAGTTCTTCTTTCTTTAAAGGGTTGACTAGAAAAGTAAAGAAGAAAAAGATTTGGTTAAAATTATGATAATGTCACTAATGAGTCTTGTTTATTTTGGTCCAATTATCAGCATTCAGCACTCTTTAACCTCATATTGACAAACTCTAATTGACATGAAACTTTAACCTCATATTGAATAATATGTTAATTTTCTTGAAGCTTGCATCACTTTCGGTCAAAATAACACAATTGTACGTTGGACTTATAATGACGATTAATGTTTTTCATGCATAAAATCATATGTTATTTTAGATAGAGTTTCACTCTATTACCAACATCATCTAACTATTTTCATCTCAATTTATAAAATTTTCATTTAAATAATTATTTTACCTTATTAGAAGATTTAAACGATTTATCATCAGGTTGATATTTCATGTATCAATCAATTACTTTATCTTATCTAAATTTTAAGTTAATTTATAGGGAATTTTCATCCTAAATTACAATATTTTTCCTCCTAATTTATCATTTTCAATTAAGAATGACCCTATTTAATACTGATTTATCAATTTTTAGGCATGGGGCTTACATTATCTCAATATCATAACCTATGTCATAAGTTTAACAGATTAGTCTAATTAACTCAAGTTTTTTTTTATCTATTTTTTAATTGATATTTTCTTTTTAGTTTCATTATTCATAATTTTTAATATTTCGTTAATTATGAATTAGGTTGTAATTTATTTCAATTTAATTTATATGAAGTTATCTTAGTCTCATGACCTGAGTTACAGGGTTTTTCCGAGTAGAATTAGATAATTTTATTATGTCCTTTTTGTAGGTTAATTTCTTTGCAATTTCATTATTTAACAATGAATTTATTAGAAATTAACATTAATAATTTATTTCAATTTGCTTTACATGAGGTTATCATGGTCTCATGACCTGAGTTATAGATTTGAGATGTTAATTTAGGTTGACTTGAATCGATCTAATATTTTATTATCTTAATTATTTTTAAAAAATATTATCTTAATTTTTTTAAAGTCATTTACGTTTTTATTAGACATTCAAAATATTTATGAATCGATCAAGTCAATCGAGTTACATCAAATTAACTTCTATATTATTTAAAATGTTTTTTAATTATAAGTATTTGTATAAAAGTGTGGTTGAAGTTGTTATTGCATATTAAATTACAAAAAGAGACACTAATTTATATATTAATTTGCAGTGAAATTTAATATATTTGAGTATATGACATTTGACTATGAAAACAGAGGAGAAGATGATAACAAGTTAACAAATACGATGTTTTGCTGTGACGGATCTTGGAAGGTGATGAGTTTTTGTTGTTATCTTGAAATTATTTTTAACAATAATATATTAAATTTTTTTAAAATTTTTAAGAAGCCAGTGCAATACTAGTATCCTGCGGCCCAACCATAAAAAAAATATGGGCCCTATAAATTCAAACCGGTGTTTAGATCATAACCAGACAAGTTGTTTTTGTGATTTGCTATAAAAAGTAGAAGCAATCACAAAAAGAAATACATTCTTGAACGACTTGCCACCTGCGTTTATTGATACGTTCTTTCATTTATTGGTACGTTCCTTCCAAGTATTCGGAAATTGATCCTATTTCACCCATGTCGTCTACGTCCACTAATAACTGCAGGTGGCAAGTCGTTTAACACGAATAAGCTCCAAGAGACAAGTCGTTGTAGGCTTCACTGACCTTCGCAGCTGCAATCTCTCTCCCCTCTTCCATCTCACTCTCTTCCAATTCTCTGAACCATAAACTTCAGACTCTTTATCACGCAGAGCTGAGAATTGAAGGCACAATTCCAAACCTTTCTTCACTATAAAAGGTAAAAAGCTCCAGACTTTCAACTCAAAAGCGTGGATTTGTTTCTTTCTTTTAGCTCTGAAAACGTATAAAGACCATTACTTTGCAATCCAATCCCTCAAAGAAATGGTATTCAATTACAATTTTGGAATCATGTTCTCATCACTGACATTTATTCTTTTGAAGGACTTCATATTTTTTTGAGTAGCAATGGTTTTCTTGTGCTGGGCTAAGCCATCACTTCAAGAACAGAAGGATTGTCTAAACAAGTATAAAGAAACTGACCCTTTAATATTGAATTTCTTTCTTCCACAGTTTTGTCATTTCTCATGCATAGTTGATGCTTAATTGCTTAATAACAGGTCAGATGGATTTAATTATGACTCTAAGTACAGGGGAGCTACTTCCAAACATGCGTCTTCTCTCAATGAGCTTTCAAAAGATGGTTTCTTGATTAACCATGCTCGTGTTTTAGTTGGTTCTGGTGTTGAAACTTATGAAAAGGGCAAGTTGGCTCTTGAAAATTGGAGGTCTGTGATTTTTTTTTTTTAAGTGAGAAATGTTAATGTTAGGGTATGAATATTTTTTTTGTTTAATTTGATTGCAGGCATTTTGGGTTTGACTGGGGATTTGTTGATTCGAAGACTCCGATTCGAAGTGGAGTGAAGTTTTGTGTATGTGTAAAGGAGTTTTTGCCTTGGGTTATGATGCCTCTTCAGATTGTTTATGTAAATGAAAGCAGGAGTTCCAAGAAGGATATGGCTTCGTTTTGTTTCGGTGGCGGTACCCTTCAAGGTCACTTGCTGGTTAGTGATTCTTTGTTACAAGTTTAATTTTGGAGATCTAGACTTGTTGTGACTCTTTGCTGACGTTGAAATTTGATGACGCGAACCTTGTTAGTCACCATGTCAATATATAGGAATCAAGAATTTGGCATACATCATTTCATTCAGTTGACACATCATGCTTGTTATCAAAATGGATACAATCAATAAATCAACTAATTAATAGCTTGATGTAGCATAGCAGCTGCGAGCAGATCATGGTTGCTTGACTATGGGTTGGCTTGACAGCCTGCTGCATAATGTTGCTACAGCTTGTTTGCTTTGTCTGTTGAGTGTTGAGCTTTCCTTTTGTTTTTTTTTCTTGCTGAATCTTCTTTTTAATGGATAAAGTAATATTAGAATCCTGCTGACTCTTCTTTTTAATGGATAAAGTAATATTAGAAAAGCATTTGAATGTTTTGTTTCATACTGTCTAGTCATTTTCACATTCAAGTTTTAGCCTGCTAAGCCTCTTTGGCATACATAAACACAGGCCATTACTAACATTTTACTGGGGAACAGGCTGGGGAAGAGCGGTTTTCAAAT